GTGCCAGGATTACAGGCATCCCTGCAAAAAGCTACTTGTTTCTTAAAGGCCCTGATATACATGTGAGCAGATGGGTTTTAAAGGAAGGAAGATCATGCAGATTGAGATCACACCCTCGCTTTCCCCAGAAATGCTACCCAACGGAAAAGCCAAGGCACAGGGATCATGGCAGCTATAGGTCTTTCCATGATAAATAACCCCGGTGAAAGGCTTCTGGAAAAACAAATATAACACCCCAAATCTGGCTTTTCTGCCAGCGCACAAGTTCAAATGATCACATTGCCTGAAGGCTATGGTCCCTTTCCTGCTTTTCCAGATGAGCATGTTAAGACAATTTGAAAATGTGCAGCCTTTCCTGATAGCTCTTCCAACATGCTCTGTTGTTCATGACTCACTCTTCTGATGAGTACTGACTGAGCCTCTGCCAGAGACCAGGCACCAGAGACAGGGAAGGGCCCAAACCTGCAGAGTCCCTGCCCGGCCACCACCGGGGATACGCTGTTCCCTCATCCCAGGGAGCACCGGCTTCCCTGTGATTCCATTCCTGACTTTTTCCTAGGCTGCTTTTTTCTTGGAAAACCAAAAACAAAGACACAGATGGAAAGATACTAAAGGTATCCAGGAGAGTTAGGACGGAACTCCAAGCGTTAAAAGCAGGGCTGTGTAGTGTAGCCGCGGTAGCAGGTCATCCTTGGACCCCCATGGCTTTCAACTTTCAATTTGAGGAAGAGAATTAGAAAGATTTCCAGAAGTGCATGTACTCTGAAGCTTACTCCTTTAACACATCACCTCTCTTTCTTACATACATACGCACACATACACACAGCGACCCTCCCAAACACCTGAAGATACACATAAATAATACCAGCTTACACCTAACTACACAAATACACAAACCACACATGCTGGGGAGATTGGGGACACACTGATACTCACGAACATTTATTCCTATCTCTTACCCATGAGAGGATGGACACAGACGCAAGCAAAAGCATGCATGACGAAACACTGTCCAATATCGACTGTGATTCTCAGTCCAGCTGTCCCCCGTACTGCCCTCCCGGTGACTTCTATAGGGTGCTGAAGATTAAACAGTTGGTAGCCAACTTTGTATACATGCCTTTAAACAAGAGGGCTTTAAAGAACTACGTCGAGGAAATGACACCTGGACTAGGATGAATAATTACAAAGCCAGGACAGAATTAAGCAATTCTGACTGTCAGATTTAGAGCTGTCTCTCTGACATGCAGGGTTGGCAGGCCTGCCCCTCATGCCCTCGTGGACAGGCCTCTGCGCCCCTTTGATCTGTGTTTCCCTGTACAGCAAGCGAAGTCTTTCCTGAAGGCCCGAACCTTGTCAGTATCTGTTTTGGTGCTTTCTATATTGACAATGGCATGAGCCAATGGCCAATAATGGACAAAGATATATATTTTCTTGAAAATTCCAGTAAGTGAGCAAAGGCTAGCCGTTGTAGGTCCATTGACCAATAACACAAACAGAGTCTAGAAGAGTCCATTGTCGTGTCACCTATCACTTCCTAAAAAATGATACCCTCTTTCTGGAGAACAATTAGCATTCAGACAGAAGGCAGCTTTGGAATAACAAAAACCGAAAGGCATCAGTGAAAGAGAAACGTGTTGTCACAAGAGAAAGCAAGACAGAACTGGCACTCAAGTGCCGGGGCCTGCCCGGCCCCAAATCAGACCTCTGTGACACTGGGTGTCTGTTAGCTCCTGGCGGATTCTGCATTTGCGTCAGCCGAGGACACCCAGACTGCCTGTTCCCTACCTTCAAGGCAAGGCTGTGATTAGAGAGGTATTTTCCATTCTCCCAAATACTTTATGTCAGGAATAAAATGAAAACAGCTCCCCAAATCACGGCCCCTTGATCATCCATCACGGCATTCTGCTGAATAAGCACAACAGGCCGCTGCTGCCTTGGAAAGGACAGAAGCTGAATTGAGATTCCAATTCTGTTATGAAAAATAGGTCCTCACCGAGTGTGCTCAGCACAGCATCCACGATACCCGGGAAGGAAATTGCTCTCCACTTAGAAGATGCCGGGTGTAAACATACCTCCCAGAACATACATATGTATATATACACAGAAATGGAGAGTGTATACACACACCTGCACAGGAACAAACATATGTCTGTACACACTGTGAACAGGTGAGAACCAGCCTTTCTAATGCCAATTCATTAATTCAGCAAGGAGCTCATTTGGCCTATATTCTATCTGTAACAAAAGTACCCGTGCATATCTCTGAAAACAACAGACAAAGGCGATTGCCTGCCATTCATGAGAGGCATATGGTGTGCTATGAAACCAACAACACAGACAGATCCGCTGTGCACTTGAAGAATCGTGTCATAAATAGAACACTTAACTGGAATCTCCGACCCCTGGGGGGGACTCTGGTCCCAGCTCTGGGGGGCCTCGGGAAGCTACATCCTCTCCAAGTTTCCTTGTCTGTCCAAGGAGCATAGACAAGGGATTTTTGTCCTTTTCAGTTTGGAAATCACGTGACTCTACAAAAAGAGAGCCAAGGTCCCTCGACTTTGTCAGAGTATTTTTGTCTCTCCCCTCAAATAATTAATGGGCATTTTTAAACTTAACACAGTTAGTAAGGATGTTAGACTCAATCACACACACATGAGCTAATTCTATAATTGATTAGAAACTAATTGGGAACTCTAAAAAGCATTTCTGCTGATGTTGCTAATGACTCAGAGAAACAGCTAATACTGTA